TCGCAGGAAATGTAACTCCCTCAATTACCTAGATGCTCAAACAAACACAGTCAAACCACAGTTCTCAAATGTCTCCCATCTCGAACAATTGGGTTCTTGATCAAGCTGTTCACAGAAATGTCTCAGTTGCCAAACTTCAGTTCTCGACCCAACCCTTTCATGCTGATAACTATGTGAGCCGTCACGCGTCTCTCAGGTGACAAAGGAGATTGTATTTGAACAAATCACTTTTCAAACAGCCTTCCAGAACAAACCAAGTTCAATAACCCAGGTTCCACTGTACACTGATTTTTTAAGTAACTGTGCACTAAACATTCCCAAAATACACTAAATTTAACCTTTCTTGATGACTTGATACTTAGTCATCAAGAAATGGGAAAACTTGTACCCCTTATCTTCAGTATATGTAATCCTTACCCAACACACTTAAAAGGGAGGACACGTCATAAAAAAGGGAGCATCCAGGAGGCTCTTTAAAGGAACCCAGTTTGCTCACAAACATGCAGATCCTGGCTCAGCAGGTCTGAGTTAGAGGCCCAGCATTCAACACATCTGGCAATGATGCTAGGACCACATTCAGAGCCCCAGAGAGCCCCAAATGCTGCAGGAGTAAGTGGTGAGATCTTTGGCCCATCCTGCCAGACCTCATCGAGACTACCTGAGCCACTGGCTCTAAATGTGGTTGGGTGGGACCCACAGTGGTTTAAGTTTTATCTAAAATCTGGTAAAAATGTATCTTCCCTAGAAAAATATACAAAAGCTGCACCAATAGATTGTTTCTATCACTTCAGCTTGTCACTGAGTAGGAGACTACTCAGCCTCAGTGCCTCCCTGACAATGCCGAGTGTCAGCCACGCTCCACCAGCAGCCTGGGTGGAGCTTTCACATCGGTCAGAGCAGGGCAGAGTCCTGGCCGCGTCCACGAGGTAGGCATCAGAGGACACACTACGGTAACCACTTTTTTTGTAAAGTTTTTACTCATTCTCCAAGTGAGAAGAGGGGCATGGTGTGGAGAGACACACCGGCATTGAGGGGTGGGGCTCTGAGCTTTTACTGGGTTATAATTGGATTAAAAAGGTGGAGGAGGGTTTGCTGTCCTGCAGCCCCTGTGGGCGGCAGGAGGCTGCAGTTCGTCCCAATGTTATCTTCTGCTTGTGGTCATAGGGAGCGGTTGGTTAAGCCTCCTTTTATTCTTGCTTTCCAGAAATTTCCAGCCCTGAGGACGAGCTCCTACCTCAGCACTGACAAACGTATCTTGGTGGATTTGTTCCACAGCTGACAGGCAGCTTTCCCCACACGGTCATTGGCTGAGGAGGAGGCCGTCCGCAGAGAGGCGGAGGAGGGTCAGAATCCTCTGTCCAAACCTCAGAGACAGGGTGAGGGGGTCAGCCCGGGTCGGCTTCCGCTGCCCACTGCTCCCCTAGTCGCGAGTCTCAGGAGGCTGGAGGAGAGGGAGACATAGAGCATGTCCCCATATGGGCCACCGAAATATTAGGGTGGTTGGTGACAGGGCTGAATTGGTAAAAGAATTCATAAAAAAGAAAGTGTAGAGAGGGAGGATTTTATTTGCTCTCCAAGTAAAAAGAGGGGTGTGGTGTGGAGAGGTACACCAGCATGTAACCACTGCTTTAGAAACTGGGCACTGGGCTTAGCCACCTCTTCTCCTCACACTGCTAAGTGGCACAGGAACAGGATGAGATGGTGACAAAAAACATTTTATTAAATTCTGAATGTGCAGACCCTTAACAAAGGCATCCAGCAACATTCTCTTCTCATAGCTGGCACCTCCATTCTCCCTCGCTCATACTTCCGTCACATTTACACAAACTGGTTCCATAAAATTTTTTAAATGTCCATTTCTTTAATTTTAAAAATATATACAGGAGAAGCCATGTATTTGACAAAAGAATACACACATTAACAAAGCATTTCTTATAGTTCCCTAAACTATTACCAGCCTGAAATTCATAAATATACCAGAATTTTTTAAGTTAAAATAATATCCCTGTAACTACTAAATATGCTAGATTTCTTCCAGAAATCAAATGAACCAAGAATATGAATATGGTTTGTGTTAAATAAGGTTTATTGTTAGCTTTATTGCCTATTGTCTATAATATGCAATTTTATTGTGCCTTTGCAAACAGGATACATTGCTTAAAAAACTGATCAAAATTTTCCATACATATAGCTCTATATAATAGATTACAGTGCAACACTATTCTTGTTACATAATTATAGAAATACTATAGAACCCAAGAGCACAGGGTAAGCAAAAGAAATATAATCCTGAGCCATCTGAACAAGATGGATGAATCCTTTTAGTGTAAGTTTAGAGAACACAGAGGGGGAAACATGCACACTGCAGTCGTGAGCAAAATACATTAATTACTTGTTCCTTGCTAGACACACGTGGGGGTAATGGTGAATTCAGAGACGTGCACACTCACTCACACTCCCATTTTCTTCTCCTGCTTCCCTCCCACCTCCAGTACATTCACTCCCTCCCCTTCCCAAAAGAAAAGATCAGGCACTAAACCCTAGTGAACCCCACATCTGCCTTGATGCAGAACATTAAATGACTGCTAAAATGAGAGTGCAGGTCCTCACCCATGGGAAACAAAGCATGTGCTGTACGTCGATCCCAGCGGCTTGTCTCTATGAAGTAATGAAACATATGCTTATTGCAGTTTAAAACTGTAGAGGGAAATGTCTGGAAAACAAAACTTTGTTTTCTCTCCTGATGTCTGAAAGTAAAATCAACAGTGGGAAACTCACCCTAAAACTGGATGCCTCATCTATTAAAATACATTTGTCATTTTATTTTTGGTATGTAATCAATTATAGCTCAATAAACAGTCCATGAAGTCTGTACCTGCTTATGGTAAACTGACCACAGCTGGACAGGTGCACGTTAGTCCTTGTGAACATTCCCTCGAGACCAGAACGTTCTAGTGTTAGCGAAGGTAATGTATGTTAAGTAATGACAGGTATTTGGTTTGTGTCATCACCTTATACAGCCTAGTGATGAAATCAACCAAACCACACCTCCATGCCTTCCCTGAAAATAACCTGAGTCTTCTGACTACGCAGACTGACCAGTGTGACTGGCAGGCCACTTAATCAGAGGTTGAACCGGAAAACCAGAGGACTAATGTCTACGAGCAGTTTGTCTTGTGCAGATGACCAAGAGTTCTTGGTCTTTGCAGGATCTAGTGTCCCAACGGCTGAAATCACTGAGGTGGAAATAGCTCACAGCATGAAGAGTACGGAACGTTAACTGCATAACCTGCGGAACTGCCTGGAGACGAAAACAGGATCCTCACCCCCACGTAATTGGCGTGGGTCTTAGTGTCTCTGTACACACAGCTGCTACAGGAAAATCAAAGAAAAAGGTTTACTTTATAACTTTCTGATATTCAATTAGATGCTCATACACTCATAAAATACTCACACACTCTATGAATATGAGGTGACTCTTCAAAATTTTAAAATCAAGAGGCACCAATACCCGTTCATTTATGTATTAGAAGTCTCACATAATTACCACTAAAACAACAGAAATGGCATCTGTGATGATCACACCACAGAGAAAAAAGATCTGAAGACAACTTCAGCCACGGCACTTCAGACTGTACTTGAAAGCACAGATGCTCTGGCTAAATCAGAATCTAAGAATCTAATAAGGTTTTATTGGTTTAGCATAGTCCAGGACAAATGGAAATGGTTCCTAAAGGAATTTAAGAAACCACTCTGAAATTGTTTTCAATGTACATTATTTTAATTGGTCTGACTGTAAAAAACCTTGGTTCTACCATGACCGCTTGCAAGTGGAACGCAGAGACTGACGAACCAAAGAGCATCCTCCCGCAGTGCTGACATCCACAGCCCACGGACCTGACACCACTGGTGAAGGCGTTTTTAGAGTAGCAAGGACAGCATATTCTATTTTAGTATCTTTGGTTAAGGCCTGGCCTCTTCAAATCCACCTACTCTTCACATTTAAGTCACCAATGAATTTTAGTCCATGCATTTAGTTAAAGGTCACAAGACATAATTTTCATGTTAAATCATCAAGAGTTTCAAATATTTGGCCCTAACCCTGGCCAGTAGGAGGACTACGAGGACCTAGCACAGGAAACTGTCAACAGGATTCCCAGCACTGGGAGAGGGGCAAAGCAGAACTCTAGCCTTTGTCCTTGAAAGTGGCCTGAGACAACTATGAGTCTCTAGCTGCCAAAAATATTTACCACCAGCCTCTAGCGCAATGTCTGTATTGTTCAAACCCCATGTGAAGCCTAAATGCCATGTAGGTGTTTCTGGTGGTAGGTGAGAATAAGTTGTGAATAACGATAAATCTGGTCTAGTGAGAAATAGCTTAAAAAAAAAAGAAAAGAAACCCTGGGTTTTAATTCAAAGGAAAAAATATATAATAAACCAGTTTTACATCCTCAACCAGAGTATTGCCTCAAATACTCTACCTTCTCTTTTGGAGTCCAAGAAGCTTCTGTTTTCTTCCTTCACTGCTTTAGTGGAGAGAGGGGGAACTTTAGAGAGGGTTGCAACAGGAAAGCAGAAACACGGGGGCAAAAGTAACTGCGGGACTAAGAGGTCAAACAAAGTAAGCACTCTGAGCAGGCTGATCCTGATTCCTGGCTCACCTACACAGCACACAGCAGCCCTCAACCTAAGCCGGGCCACACACATCAGTCAAGCAGGGCTTTCTGCAGTATTCTCTACTTTACAAACAAAACCCGACTCTGCCAGGTAAGACTTCAGGATAAACCATCCAGGCTGGTATACTACGGCAAGTGCTGCCACTTTCCAATTAACTTAGCACCAAATCTGTTCTCTCCCTCCCCCCGCAAACTAAGTCAATCTGTAGTTTAAAATGTGAAGTGTCATGATTCTCTTTGCTTTTGTTTTCTTCTTTTTTCATTTTCTCATAAAGTTTTCCTATATCGATGTTTCAGTTCCATTTCAGATGAAATAATGTTGCAAAATATTTGGTGATCTCCATATAACATTCTTCTTACAATGATGTACTTAAAGAGTTTTAAGTCAAAATTATGTCCACAAAAGTCTTTTCCATGTAGTTCTTCATACAGAGAAAGACTCTTACACATGGCTATTTCTGGATAGTGCATTACATGAAGATGCCTCGCGAGAGAAAAGATCATTGTGCCTCTGTAAGAATAACACAGAGACTCCGAGTCCGGGAGCTGACACACGCTGCAGCAGGTGTTGGACATCATACTACTCAAATACAGAAACAGCAAGAAACATATTCTGTGCTACAGAAAATCTGCTAGATTCTAACTGTAAGGATTTAAAGTAATGACTGATTACTGCATTTTAGAACTGGAACATGCTTCTTCCCTTCCAGATGCACAATGTTTGATGCTGGTGCACACACACACACACACAATACTGTGTCTGCAAAGATATACAAATGCAATAGACAGCCAAGTCCTAAAGGCAAATTTCAGCGAACAGGGCTACTAAGACCAAGAGAGCAAATATTAACTTAAGAACACTTCTAACTTCAGAATTTCATTTTATTGAACACACTTTTAAAATAAGCACCTCTTGGCAATAAAAGCAAAGAAACAACAGCGCTCCTTCCACTCTATTCCAGCGGAAGACTTCTCACACCAACCTGCTAAATTCATGATGGAATTTAAAAAATAGGCAGCCAGGCCACCAGCAAAGCTCAAATGCAGGTCTGCTGACTTTTCAGTGAGAACTGGAGCAGAGAAAAAGATCAAAAAGCAAACTCAGAATCTATCACAACTTTCTTCCTTAAGCAAAAAAGAAAAAAAAAGTTTTATAACCACAATTCAATTTTTCAAACTTTTTCTGAAGAATTTTCATTTAATTATATACACATAACAGGAAATAAAACCTTTTCACAAACATTCTCAGAGCTCACAAATATCAAGAAAATGACAAAAGTAAAAGCAGGAAAAATACTAATCACATGGCAGGGGGGTCAATTTCCGTTTCTGCTCTTAAAAAGTAAAAAAATTACCATATAATTAAGTACAAAAACCTGCATTGAATGACAACTGCTGGTGTATTTACTTGATCAGAAATGAAGATCAAGAATATAATAGAGCCCTATGATCATATTTATCTGGAACACTCCCTCAGTGTGTATGTACACTAACGTGTTGGCAACGTCTCTGGAGCATTAGCTTATATAAACACGGGAGTCCTTGGTTAGCTGCATTAAATGGAACATTCTCTTCTGAAATGCACCCACAACTCAGTTTCACTTACAAATTGCAAACTAAAATTATTTCTTCAGAAAAATATCTGTTTGGCGTCTCCTGGACTTTGTTCCATGGGACAATATGGACATTTTAATCTAAACACAAGGAAAAAAAAAAACACTGAGTCAAGAAACAAGATCAGTACTGAGCATTCCGTTTCATACAGTTATAAAGTATCTTTAACAATCATACACACACAGACTTACTCACAAACGCACACAGTGTATACTCTGAGGGTGAACTGTGCTTTCCCTTCACGTAACAGCCAAGCTTTGAAGGGTCACAGATAAAAATCATGTGAGCCAGACCCTAAACTGAAAGGCTCTTCTTCCGTAGATATCAGCAAAAACCATTTGGTAAACAAAACAAAGACAATTCTTCTAAAAATGGCTTTTGGAGTTTTCATAAGTAAATCCAATTCTTCTTATCCAAAGTTTAGGTTGCACCTGTCTTCAAATGAGTTTCAAACCCACTGGTCACACAAGCCACTCAAGCGCAGCCAATCAGATGCCAGCTGCCGAGCCTGCCAAATGCGCAGCCCACCAAGAGCAGCTGATGGGCCTTGTAGCAGGGCACACAAAACCAGCATGGCTGCACGGCTTGGGGAGGGCACAGACACCTTTGTCACATGCCAGGGCCTCCTCTTCAAGGGAAGACTTTACCATAATGGTTTGAAATGGACTCCAGCAAACAATGTTCTAACTGCCTAAGCTAAAAATAGGCTTTTGAGACTTTTGGGCTCTAATCTATACAAACTATAAGTATATACACCCTTTGAATCAGCAATTTCAATTATAAATATATAAAATATACATTTATATAACATGTAAATAAAAATATGTAAGTATTTATACCCTTTGAATCAGCAATATCACCTACAGATAATGTAATTCACCTTATAGTAATAGAAATTAAATGCTCACCAATAAGGGACTAGTTTAATAATCATCATTTCCACATAGAAAAATAATGTGCAGCTTTAAAAAGAGAATGAGGGCTCTTTCTTTAGCATATAAAAGAGCTCCAAGATGTATCACTAACTGACCAGTCTCTGGTATGCTACGTGTTACCATCTGCGTACGAAAGGCAGAGTGGGTGGGGGCAATGACATTGTGTTGCCTACCCAAGAAGAGTTAAATAAAGATTATCCTTGTAAATTCATAGACAAATTTTAAAAACTGACCAAAAAAATAAAAAATCAGGTACTACCCACTATGCTAAATGAAGAATTATGAAATCTATTTCTACATTCTAGCAACATTTATTTATTCTCATTATTTTTCATCCTCCCACTAAGTTACAAAAGAAAATTTTTTACTAACATTTAAAAAGCCAGACACTTACTTGCTACCATTAAACATTTTGTTCAGGGCGTCTCTTGATATAATATGACCACAGACCAATTTCATGGGTGGATTGTTATCTGTTGTTTGCTGACGAAGAATGGGACAGGCAAATATAGAGTGATACCAGCACTTTTTACCAAGGTCCACTTCGATCTGTTAAGAAAAAGTAAGAAGACTCAGGTTATAGCTCAGGACATCTTCAAATTAGTACGCACCGTGCAGCAGAGAACACTGATCCAATGTACTCATCTGAACGTACCTTTTTACAGCACTCTTCTAACTTGAGAGGGACAGTCATAGGGATTCAAGTATTATTTCATAATTCTAAATTAACCTTCACATTTTTTTAGAGAGAATTTTTATGAGTTTATCTGAGCCAAACTGATGACAACTGCAGGGAAGCAAGTTTCAATGGCTAAAGGAAATGCTCCCCTTCGAAATTACTTAGGATACTGCTCTCAAATAAAATTTTGATGCCTGAGAGTTAAAAGTCAAAGGCAAATCAATGCTGTAGAAGTTAAACACTCCCGAAAAGTCATTAGATATACCGTAAAACCCATCAGAAATCCCAACTGTTTTACAGCACACTTAGCTAGGTGATAAAATTCAGTGCATTAATTCCTTTAAAAACAAACCAAACATGGTTTGTTTCTATACGAGCTTCACATCTAAGTTTCCCATGTTTTGTGTATAATGGTCCAGAGAAACCTCCTGAAACAAGGGCTTCAACTTGAAGTTCAGGAGGTCCTCTCACAGTCACAGTCCACAGCACTTGTGTCAATTACTTCTCTGTGCAGTGAGCAAAACAAGGAAAAGCTATGGAATCGCCTAACACAGTGGTTGTCTGTGGCAGGGGCCCAAGAAATGCCAATTCTGTTTTCTTTCTTTCTAAATCTACAATGGCTATCAATATATAAGTCTTTCAAAAAATCTGACAAAGTGTAACAGGAAAATCCTGAGGAAAAAAAACAGCCAGATCATCACTTCAAAGTGCTTTATTATCCTGACACACAGACTTTAGGTGAATTCAGATTGCAGTGTGCTCCATTCTAGTGCACAAGTGTGAGATGTACACATGACTGGGAAACTGCCAGGGTCTTAGAGGCACTTGCCTCAGCAAAGGAAGTGAAGGCTCAAGTTCTAAGGGCACTCAAAATGAGCAGCAGTCAAGCAGGGGTGTTGCTGGTGTCCTGACCACACTCACGACTAGAGATGCACCTGTGCTTTGAAGCAAACCAGACGTCTGAGGAGAAGCTGGGGCAACCAACAGTTACCAGCTGGAAGAACAAGGTAACTGCAGACAAATCTGTGTACAGGTGTGGCGGAAAAGAAACAAAAAGCCAAATGCATGTTTTAGCCCTTCAGGGTCTGTGATACAACCATGCAGAAGTAACTTCGAAGATGTAATGCTACTGTCAGAGACCTGGTGGAAATACACCTACGAGAACCTTTGTCTCCCTATGTAAGCAAACCTGAGTACCTACTCTGTATCCCGTATTATTCTAAGCATATCTATGTTATCTCCAGCCTTTAATAGTCTCAGAAGAGAAGGATGGTCTCTATTTCAGAGATGAACAAACTACTTGGAGAAGTTAGGAACTGGCAAGTTACTGGAAGTGATGTTTAAAACCCTGGCCTATCCCACGACAGCAGTGAACACATAGTACTAGAGGTACACATTGATGACTGTGGGTGCCAAAGGATGACCTTTATTTTTTTTAATTCTATTTATTTATCTTTAGAGGGGAAGGGAAGAAGAGAGGGAGAGAAACATCAATGTATGGTTGCCTCTTGTGCCTTCCCTGCGGGGAACTGGCCTAAAACCCAGGCACGTGTCCTGACCGGGAATTGAACTGTGGTTGTTCGGTTCACAGGCCCATACTCAATCCACTGAGCTACACCAGCCAGGGCAGGATGACCTTTAATTTAATAGCAATGTATTTACTTTACTTGGTATTAGAAAAATATAACAAGCCCTGGCTGGTGTGGCTCAGTGGATTGAGTGCCAGCCTTGGTTCGATTCCCAGTCAGGGCACATGCCTAGGTGGCAGGCCAGGTCCTACTGAGGGCCACATGAGAGGCAACCACATATTGAAGTTTCTCTCCCTCTCTTTCTCCCTCCCTTCCCCATCTCTCTAAAAATAAATAAAACCTTTAAAAAAATAGAAAAATAAAATGAGCTCAAACCCATGATCTCACAAATACCAATGCTAAGATAAAATAAAATCCAATCAAATTGACTCACTTTTATATTTTTTAAAAATCATAGTATGTGGTTTGTCAAGTGCAGAACATAATACATGCTGCAGTATTTCCCACCCTCCCAACTTCCAGTGTTTTCTTCATTAGCTTTCATTGCCACTCTAAGTCAAAATTTTAAGAAAACCCTTCCAGTGCCTCCAAAATGTAACTTGGCTCCCCACTTCTATTATTTAATCATGTGACCATATACATAAAAGAAACTCTGTCAAAAGGCTATACAATAATGTTCCTCAGTTAAAAGGCAAGACTGACATTTTAAATCCTTAACATTCATATTCTTCTAATGGCAGGAAAGGTAAATAACCAATAGAAAATGGAACTCACGGGTAATTCATCTTTCTGGTTCCAAACTCCAGTGCACTGCCTCTGTTCAATCACAGCCTTAATGTTAATTAAAGCTGGCAGTGCCACGCAACCTGCTGAGAAACTGGGAGAACGGAAGAGGAAATGTCAATGTCAGGCCACTGTCAGACAGCTTGGTCCTACAAATGTCAATTCCTCCAAACTGTGTGCGCAGAGAGCTATTACAATCGGACAGGGCACAGAGCCCTCTGCTCTGCTAAATTAGTACATGTGTGCACATGCGCACACATAGGTTTTAAGTTATACAGAACCTCTAGACTTAACGGTGACGGGCTCTATCTATTAGTCATCAATGACATTCTGAAACTTTTTTTACACGGTTCCTTCTAGACCCAGATGGCCCCTGTTCAGGGCACAGGTACTCAGATCTAGAAGTGCCAACAGTCAATTCTCAGCACAGTCCCTCTTTCAGGACTTTCCACTGACCAGGGTCACATCTGATGAATGTTCCACATGGATGCAAAAACCCAGCCCTGCTGTCCCAATATGGGAGGTCCTCAGGGATGGGTTGAGGCCTTCGGTTAGCCTGCATTCACATTTCAACTTTTCCCTAATCTGCCTAATCTTGCTGCTTTTATTCCCACCACAGGAGCTGATCCCAGTAACCTCTTCCCTCTCAATCTCCACCCATTTCAGAGTCTGTTCCCCAGACAACCTGACCTGCAGCCTGGCCCTGCATGATGGTTAAATGCATGAGTGTCTCCTGCAGTCTGACGGTGCACCCTACGGAACGCAGGCTGTACCCCACTCTGCGGGCACACAGCAGGAATGAAAAACACTTGAGAAATTAAATGAAGAGTAAACAAGTTAGTTTCTTAAAACAGGTTCTTAAACTTTTTGGTTTCAGGTCCTCTTTGCATACTTAAATATTAAGGATATCAAAGAGCATTTGTTTTTTGTGTATATCTATCATCGTTTGTTGCACTAGAAATTAAAACCAAAAATTTTAAAATATTAATCCACTTAAAAATAATAAACTTAATATATGTTATAAATTACATTCTTACTCAAAACCCCCTATTTTCCAAGCCCAAAGTAAATGTGTGAGAAGACTGGCACTGCTTTACACTTTAAAGCTCTTTAACGACTGGCTTAATGGGAGACAGGTAAATTTGTGAATGTTCCTCTGTGCTCAATCTGCTGCAGTGTGTTCTTCAGGCTGAAGTAAATGATCTAGCCTCACACACATCTATAGTAATTTAACTGCCTTTTCAGATAATTGTGGATATTCTTCTTTAATGCCGCATCAAAACTAAACAAGGAGTAGAGAAAAAGTTTTTTGTATCATGGAATCTGAATCCTTACCACTGAATTTTTTGTACTTTCTACATTCAAATCCAATGGTCTGTCTTATACTCTGAATGACTCTTTTACTCAATGCATGATTTTGTAAGATCCTACTGAATTAAGACCTTTAAAGAATTAACATATCTAATTATACATTATCTAAAAAATTCATTAATATCACCAGGCAAATCAGAAAAGTCTTTAAATATGGGAAAGCTGTCAAACTCACAGTGGCAGTACAAGATTTCCAAAATTTCTATTTTAGCTCAAAATCTTAAATTCTATCATTATGGCAAAAGATACTGTCAGTTGCTTTCCTTGATATAAGACTCACTTTATTTTAAAAAAAAATGTATGCTGAACACCTGAGTATGAATAATTACAGTCTGTCTTTTATCTTCTAAGTAACAGCTGTGTTCCATGAAAATAAAAAAAAAACAACAACTAGCTTATTAGTTCATAACTCTAACAACAACATACAGGTGCTTTTTCCTGAGATGATAACCATATTTTAGCATGAAGTTGAAGTGTTTTATGTGAACTTCCTACTGTCACACAAATATTAAAAAGATGTGTACTCAAAAGTCAATATGTAATAAACTAGTCATTTTAATGTTTTATCAAGAACATTCTTAAGTAAAACCAGCATGTCTTCAGCTGCAAGTGTGTGGTGGTGAGGAAAACGAGGTTTTCCAGACCACTGCTCTGACCTGTGCTAAGGCTCAAGCAATTAACTCACCACTGTTTCTGCACCATCTGTGCAAATGTCAACCTAGTGGGAAAGGCTCAGGACCACACAGGTTCACGGATTACACTTTAGAAACTGCTGCTCTAAAACTGTCACTGTCAATCATGACAACCTCTTAAAATACCAACTGTACTCTTCTTCAGAAAGAAAAACAATCTCTCGGCTTTAAACATCAAGAGCTAGGCAACAAATTAAGAACTAACCAATATGATGCATATTTCAGTAACAGGACCAACTTCCATACCTGACACTGAGAGGGGATTCCACGGAAAGCCCTAGGAGGGCACAGGCATCCCGTGTAAAGATGTCACAAATGTCAGCCCACTGGTTTGCATCAAGCAGGTGAACATATGGTGAGTTCTCAATCCCTTGTCTCAGGTACACGAGGCTTCCCATCAAAACCTGAATGTCTAAACAAAAGCAGCAACACTTAGAGGTGTGAATGATTATTCCTGAAATAGAGCTGGCCTGTAGGTAACAGGCTGAGAAAGGCAAGAATCCCCCCCAAGTGACACAGCCTAAAATCATTTATTCACCATGTCTTTTAGTTCTGGTCTTTACGCTTGGCTTCTCCCTTCACCTTAAAGAAACAGTACAGAGAAAAGGGAGGGGAAAAAAGGAAGCACTAAACATTGGACTTGCAGTTATTTTATTGTTACAAATAGTGTAGTACAATTACCATTACCTTCCAGAGTAATAATTATGCTATAAAAGGGGCCACCACATATTATTTGACTGTAGAACTACCCCACTACTCCTACTGTGACACCCGGGGGGCACTCTGAAACACTCTGCTGTGGCAGTAACAGCAGCCTGAGGGCCAGGCAGGGGGAACAAGTGCACACTCCACTCTTTCTCATATCCCCTTCTCAGCTGAGTACCAAATCCCCCTAAATGCAATGTCTCTTTCTGACTTTTTTTTAAGGGATGGCAACTAGTTATTTCAGAGAATTCCTCTCTCCACCCAGCCTCTGTTTCTCAACAACAATAACTTGATATAACTCCACACAAAGTATCCATGGAAAGCTTATTGTTATAGAGATCAGTAATAAAAACTTATTTCCAATTTTTACAAAAGAAAACTGGGAATCGGAAACTTAACATGACTTTTACAAAGTCCCAAAGCTTGGAAGTACACAGTGAGGCCAAGGCCCAGATGCAAGTCTCCTGAAAGTTCACCCAATGCCCTTTGCTACTGAGTAATTATATATACATACAGCACTGCAAAAATTACCTGCTTTAAATTAACTTAAATCTATGAGGGCTCTGTATGCAATCTTTATTCTTGAAAGATACTATTTCATCTTGTACGTATCCAGGTAAAAAGTTGACAAATGTCTTGAAATTAAAGCATGCTGTATTGAGTGTGCATTAATTTCTTGGCTAATATTTCAGTTCGCTACATTTGAAACCCCTTCAGAGCCATCATGATCTGGACAAATGAGCATTTCTGCTTTTAAATATTTCAATTTTAATTCTGAGGCCTGTCAATCTAACTGGGCTCATAAGTTGGCTTCATCTGATTTTCTCTGCTTCGTAACAATATTGTTTAGTATTTGCTAGGCTGCATTTGACCTGACACTTCCTTTATGAGTCTAATACTTTTTTTGGCTCTAGACCCAGTCACAGCCTTTTCTGTGATTATCATCTACAACTGTTTTCATTCACTAGGAAGCACATATTAGATCTACTTAAGATATGCTTCAATTCCAGTGGTGGCTATAGGTCTGCTGCAAACATTAAAAACATGTGATTCACTTAGACTTCCTGTCAAGATGGCCACACAGGTAAACATGGCTCACTTCCTCGCACAACCACATGAAAATTACAACTAATATATATGGAACAACCATCACTAAGAACCACCAGAAATCAAGTTGAATGGAAGTCTGACAACTGAGGAATTAAATAAACCACATCCACCCAGACTGAAAGGAGGGGCAGAGACACAGAGTGGGCTGGTCCCACATTCATATTTGGTAGATAAAAATTCGGGAGGGGTATCTAAGGGAGCAAGGGATTCCAGCCAATACCACTGGGTCATCCCAGCCCAGGGTTCCAGTGCCAGTAAGATAAGCCTCCATAACTCCTGCCTGCAAAAACCAGGGGTAATTGAGTCAGTGGAAGAACCTGCTGGAGTCCCACCCAGTTTCTCTTTTTTTTTTAAAAAAACATTTTATTTTTATTTATTTTTCGAGAGAGGGGAAGGGAAGGAGAAAGAGTGGGAGAGAAATATCAATGTATGGTTGCCTCTGGTGTGTCCTCCACTGGGAACTGGCCTGCAACCCAGGCATGTGCCCTGACTGGGAATCGAACTGCGATACTCTGGTTCGCAGGCCCACACTCAATCCACTGAGCCAAGGCTCACCCCGTTTCTCTTAAGGAACCCACCCACACACAGACTTACTCCCTCTCAGTTCCAGCACTGAAATAGCAGCTGAAAGGCACCAGTGGCATACAGGGAAAAAGTGAAGTGTCTAGCATCAAGGCAAGAGCTGGGGGACAGCTTTCTGCCAGAGAGAAAGGTGGGCAGAGGCCACTGTCCCCTTTCTGAACCCTCCCCCCACATAGGCACACAGCCAGCAGGCAAATGCCACATCTCAGATTCCATCAACCTGGCTAAACACTGTTTGCCCCACCCTGGAGATCCCCTCAGACTCCCTCCCCCCCAATTTACCAGGATACTCAAACTGTTAACAATGATTTTTCCATATGCACTGCTTTAGGAAGCTTCACAGCTTCCTAAATTCTCTTAAACAAGCAACAGCTGGCCTCGGTGAGCCTCCAGCCCCCTATATCTCTTGCTAACTGGCCCCAGGCCTGGCACTAGCAGCAGCCAGCCTAGACTAACAGCTTAGCTTCATCTGGGAAACTCCAAGCCCAGCATGAGCAGCAGCCATCTCAGACTGCTTTATAGCTCAGGCAGGGTGGCCCCAGGCAGAACAAAGGTGGGGGTTAACCTTGGCCGGCACCACCCAGGAAATCCCAGAGCCTGTGCACCCAGTGGACAGCTACAAACCACATCGGAGCACCACCACACTGCCTCTGCACAGCTGATCCTCCACGGAGGATGGAAGTTGATGGTCAGTGGTCACAGCCAGTCCTTGCAGCTGACTGGCCTGGGTAAATCCCTCCCACTGACCTACCAACAGTCATTGAGGCTAGACTACAAGACGAAGAGTATAATCAGCCCACCCAAAGGGTGCACCTCGAGTACCCAGTGTAGGTAATAGGGGAGGCAGTGCCACTGGACCCTGCAGGACACCTGCTACATTATGTGATGCTACAAAGACAGGATGTCATAGTAGCTCGACTTAAACATAGAAACAAACACAGGAAGGTTGCCAAAATAAAAAGACAAAGAATCATAGCCCAAATGAAAGAACAGATCAAAACTCCAGAAAAAGAACTGAACAAAATGGAGATAGCAATCTATCAGATGCAGAGTTCAAAATACTGGTTATAAGGATGTTCAAGAATTTAGTGAGGACCTCAACAGCATAAAAATGATCCAGTCAGAAATGAAGGATACACTGACTGAAATACAGAACAATTTACAAGGAAAAAAACACTACAGTGGATGTAGCCGAGAATCAAATCAGCAATTTGGAACATAAAGAATCAGAAAACAACCAATTAGAACAACAAGAAGTAAAAAAGAATCCAAAAAACCAAGAATAGTGTAAGCAGCCCCTGGGACAGCTTCAAGCATTCCAACATTTGCATTTTGGGTATGCCAGAAGAAGAGAAAATAAAAAGAAATTGCAAATCTATTTGAAAAAAATAATGAAAAAAAATTTCCTAATTTGGTGGAATAAATAGACATGCAAGACCAGGAAGCACAGAGAGTCCCAAACAAGATATATACAAAGAGGCCCACTCCAAAACACATCATAATTAAAATGCCAAAGGTTAAAGACAAAGAACCTTAAAAGCAGCAAGAGAAAAGTAGTGAATTACCTACAGGGGTGTTCCCTTAAGACTATCTGCTGATTTCTCAAAAGAAACTTTGCAGACTAAAAGGTATTGAAAAGAAATATTCAAAGTCAAGAAAAGCAGGGACCTATAGCCAAGACTGCTCTACCTAGCAAAGGCATCATTTACCATCAAAAGGCAGATAAAGAGATTCCCAGACAAGAAAAAACTAAAGGAGTTCATCCTCACCAAACCATTACTCAATGAAATGTTAAAGGAACTTATTTAAGAAAAAGAGGATTAAAACTATGAATAAAATGGCAATAAATACATACCTATCAACAGCTGAATCTAGAAAACTAAGCAAACAAGAGGAACAGAGACAGAATCATGGATATAGAGTGTTTTGATGGGTGCCAGATGGGAGGGGGTGTGGGGAAATAGGCAAAGAGGTGAGGGTAAGAAGAACAAATAGGTGGTTACAGAAGAGCCACAGGGATATAAAGTACAGTATAGAAAATGGAGTAGCCAAAAAACCTATGCATGACCCATGGACATAAACAATGGTGTGGGGATTGCCTGAGGAAGTGTGGGGGATCTGGGGAGGGGGCAAAAGGGGAAAAAACTGGGACCACTGTAACAGCATAATCAATAATATATAATTAAAAAACAAAATAAGCCCTGGCTGGTGCAGCTCAGTGGATTGAGCACAAGCCTGTGAACCAAAAGATTGTGGTTCAATTCCCAGTCAGGGCACATACCTGGCTTGCAAGTCAGTTCCCAGTGGGGAATGCATGAGAGGCAACCATACATTGATATTTCTCTCCCTCTCTCCTTCCCTTCCCCTCTAAAGATAAATAAATAAAAATCTTTAAAAAAATAAAATGTTAAAAAATATGTGACTCAGGACTCACCTTTTTGATGATTTAGGGCAAATGGCTGAAAATTTTTAGCATATTGCAATGCTTCCCGCTGATTTGTAGTTCCACCCATTAGCAAGCTAATAAAATACAGTCTATGTAGCTTAAATTCCAAGGAGCTGTTTTGGGCTATAAGCATTTCTCGGTTTGATACTGCCCACCTAAAGAAAAAGCAAACATGATTTTAACAATTATTAACAGCTTAAGTTAAGGTGTATTAAAAATTGTTTGAAACCTAGTAACATGAAAAAAGGTGTTTGGTCTGCCATCTTGTGGAAGTTGGTGGTAACATCAATCCCTAGGCCCAGAAACATTTGTATAAAAGTAAACATAACAATTAAAACTGAAGAGGCTTTCAACCAATGAAAAAAAGAAAAAATATAGTTAGATGACAATTACATAGTTAATATGCTTTTACACTAAGGCATGATTGACTCTGATGAGTTACATGACATGTTAGGAACTATGCTAAGCCACACTTTGAAGGAGGTGTCGGCCATGAGACTCACTACTGAATTGCCTAGATCCACTACTTTTTTCCTGTTAAACTGAAAATGAATCACCAGATTCTGAAAGGGAACCATCAATCTTTAAACTTTTGTTAGGTGCAAGATTTTGTGCTACTCACTTTGGAATTAAAAACAGTAAACATCAGTATTTACTCTTATGTTGCTTCCAGTCTGATCAGGCAAATAAAACCACATAAACATCATACAGTGAGTGCAGGGGTGTCACGCTCATTTTCACCAGGGCCACATCGGTCTCACGGTCGCCTTCAGAGGTCCGAATGTAATTTCAACTCCTCAACAGTTAAGCAGTTACATTTATATAGTCCTAGAATTACTTCAGCCCTTTGAAGGCAACCACGAGGCTGATGTGGCCCCTGGTGAAAATGAGTTTGACATCGCTGTTACAGTGTATTACACTGTGCCAGAAAGATATGAACAAACACAGAACTAATGAGAAACAAATACTGATGATCCAAACGATAGTGACTCAGGCCTCTTAGTACAAACAGTTTGAACAACCAGTCTTGAGCTGGAACTACCAGTTCAGGTAAGCACTAAAACAAATGTGTAACAGGCAGCATTAAATTCAATTTTGCAATCAAGTACTAAAAAGCATTATTTTGATTTTTTTATCATATCAAGATATAGAAGCCACTAGTATTATATTCTTCTTTAACTTGACCTTTAGTTGGACAAATATTCCCCACCTAACACAATTTACCAAGGACCACTGGATATGTTAAGGGAGGGCAAAAAACGGTGGGATGCATAGAAAAAAGTAACTTCTAGTTACCAGAATTTTTAACATTAATGACTCTCAAAAAGTTGGATTTCACACATAATTTATCAGCTACTATAATATCAACTATGACTACTCAGAACAGGACACCAACTATCTGGCCACCAAACACCAAGAGGCTAAAAACCACCACGAGGACACACGAGTGAACAGCAGCCAACAGTACTCCAGATGACAACGATTTCAGAAGTAGTCTATGCTGTCCTATGTCTTCCAAGTTTTCTACAGTAAACATATACTACTCATAAGTAAAAAGATAATATATTATTAAGGTAATGCAAAAGTAAACAAAATTTCTTTCATTTTCAACAAAAAGCTAACAAAGTAATTGCAAATTACATTTTCTACAAGTAATCAAACCATAAATTATAAATTCAAGTTTTTCAAGCTATAAATATAGGTGCCCAATTTTTTAACTTGGAGATGTTTCTTTAGACCATGTAATTTCTAATTTATTACTTGAATTTATTTTTACACATTTTCAAATTCTTTTATAAACAAGGCTACAAAATAATCAGAAAAAAACAGCATTGCTAATTCCTGCCCCTCCCCCCCCCAAATTTTTAGGAAAGTAAACAGATGTCCATTACAAAAAATGAGCTGATGGAATGCAGGAGAATACAAAACCCAAATTCATAGGATACAAGTTTTCACATGTTTCTTGGTTTCATTTCTTGTCATTCTATTCTGAAACAATGTATTAAATTCATTTAACTTCTAAATATTACATTAGGCCTAAATCTCAGAAGGGATTTAGAATAACCATTTGTAAGCTTCTCTCCCCCGCAAAATGTCATTTTCTAAACTAGGGATGATATACTCCCCAAATACATAAGCACTCAGGTGAAACCCTTGCCCAATAGGACCTCAGCCTCATACCCCAAGGCCCGTACTTTGGCAAACACATTTATATTTTCCTGACCCCCTAATTCCTTTGCTAATAACTGGACAGATAAGTATAGGTCTTACATTCAGTCTGTGTTCCCTCCTAATTTAAAAAAAAAAGGTTCATACAACTTTACCTCTTTTATGACCACTTCACAACCCTATACCTTTGGCTGTATAAGTTCTTTTTTTTTTTAAATTTTATTTAGTTATTTTTCAAGTACAGTTTTTTGTCTATTTCTCCCATCCCAGCCCCCCCCCACCCCGTGTTACCCACCTCCCTCCCATTTCCTCCCCCCTAGTCCTCATCCCTGTGTCCTTCATACTTGTTCCTCCAAAACCCTCCCCCTTTTCGCCTTAAATTCCCTTCCCTCTCCCCTCTGGTCACTGTCCCCTGGTTGTGTAAGTTCTTGATGGGGCTGCATTCCTTGGCAATCATAACATCCATCTTAACTGATCTTTGAAATCTGGATATAAATCTCACAGCAGCATTCTGATCCACACTAGCAGCTTCCCCAGATAACTTAATGTTGGTGAATTCATAACTTCTGAGACAATGACATTTACTGAAGATACAAGATATAAGAAACATCACACAGAGGACAATGATGCCTCAGTCCCCATCAAAGTAGGCACCTTGGGGACCTCACACAGCTCTCCTAATCGCCATCAGCTGCCCTATCATATTTTCCTGAATTTTTCTTTTAAAAAATTTCCTGAATCTTATCCAGTCTGAAATCTCTTCCCTTTCAAAGGTGATTTTAGTTTTGGGCAAACCCAGAAGTTGCAGGGTGCCAAACCTGAGATGCAGCAGGGCTGAGTGACCTGAGTGACTTGATGTTTTGCCAAAAAACTGCACAAGACATGATGCATGAGTGGGTGTGTTGTCATGATAAAGCTGCCACTCACCAGCTGCCCATAGATGCAATCTTCTGAATCATCCACAGTTTCCACAGAGGACTGTTCAAGCTTAACACAAAATCTGATGCAAATCAGTTGCTCTATTTGCTCAGTCATCTGAACATGATGGCCACACAGTACACATGCTCACTCAACAGTGTCTACTGCCCCCACTGACCAGGATAGTGAAGTCATTATTGTTCATGATGCACATTCCAGTCCATTCTCCTTGGCTGCCAGGTTACATTGATGTCATGCAAACCATTCCCATTATATTAACAATGGCTGGACTCTTATCAGACAGACCCCATATATTTTACTGATTTAGCTGTTACAATTCTCCCAACTTTTCCCCCTTTGCCCACCCCAACCAAGCATTCCACACTCCCTTATGCAGAATACACCCCTTTGTTAATGTTAATGGGTCATGCATACAATTTCTTTGGCTATTCCATTTCCTGTACTGTACTTTACATCCCCATAACTATTCCGGGACTCCCATTCGGTATACCCTCACCTCTTCACCCATTCCCTCACATCCCCCCATCCTGGAAACCAACAAACAACTCTGTGTACATGATTCTGCCCGTGGTATTCTTGTTTCCTTAGTTTTTCAGATTCAATTGTTGGTAGGTAATATGTTTATTTGCCATTTTATTGTTCATAGTTTTGATCATCTTCTTTTTCTTAAGTCCCTTTACCATTTCATATAATAATGGTTTGGTGATGATAAACTCCTTTAGTTTTTTCTTGTCTGGGAATCTATCTGCCCTTTGATTCTAAATGATACCTTTGCTGGGTATCATTTGATATCACTGCTAGAGCAATCTTGGCTGAAGGTCCCCGATTCTCATGACTGAATCATTTTTTTTCCAATTCCTTCTAGCCTGCAAAGTTTAAGAAGTCAGCTGATAGTCTTATGGGCATTCCCCTATAGATAACCCACTGCTTTTCTCTTGCTGCTTTTAAGATTTTAAGGCTTGGCTGAATACTGTGTTCTTTTTGTCAGTAGTTTACACAGTCAGACACCACACAAAAGTAAAGTCTTCCCTTTAAAGTGGCTATGATGGTATGCCAAGTGTCTTCATAGCACATCATTACTTTTAAAAATTTTCTCTTTACCTTTAACCATTGGCATTTTAATTATGATGTGTCTTGGAGTGGGCCTCTTGCATCCATCTTGTTTGGGACTATGTGCTTCCTGGACTTACATGTCTACTTCTTTACCAAATTAGGGAAATTTCCTTTCATTATTTTTTTCAAATAGATTTCCAATTTCCTTTTCTTTCTTTTCTCCTTTGGGCACCTCCATGATGCAAATGTTGGTACATTTTAAGTTGTCTCAGAGGTTCCTTACAGTATCTTCGGTTTTTTGGATTCTTTTTTCTTCTTCTTCTGTACCATTCTTGGATGAAGCCAAGAATCAAAGCAATGATATGCCCAGGTCTTTTTTAGCCTGTTGAGGTACTAAGTTTCTTGAGCATCCTTTTAACCAGTGTTTTAAATTGTACATCTAATAAATTGCTCATCTCCATTTCATTTAGTTTTTCTGGAGTTTTTATCTGTTCTTTCATTTGGGCCATGTTTCTTTGTCTCTTCATTTTGGTAGCCTCCCTGTGTTTGTTTCTTAATGTTAGGTCGAACTGCTATGACTATCTTTGTTGCATGGCCTAAAGTAGCAGGTGTCCTGTAGGGTCCAGTGGCACTGCCTCCCCTATTACCCAAGCTGGGTACTCGAGGTGCACCCTTCTGGTGAGCTGTGTATACCCTCTCCTTGCAGTTGAGCTTTGATTGCTGTTGGCAGATCGATGGGAGAGATTTACCCAGTCAGTTACAAGGACTGGCTGTGACTACTGACCACCAACTTCCATCCTCTGTGGAGGATCAGCTGTGCAAAGGGGCAGGGTGGTGGTGTTCTGATGTAGTCTGCAGTTGTCCACTGGGTGCACAAGCTCTGGAGTTTTCTGGGTGGTGCAGGCCAGGGTCAGCTACCACCTGTGTTCCACCCAGGGCCACCAAGAATGAGCTACAAAAGCAATCTTCAGGTGACTGCTATTTGTGCTGGACT